AATATCAAACAAGAGTCTTGTGGGGAAAAAAATAGAATATACTATCTGATCCATAATTAATAACATATGAGCTTGAACAAGGACATTTGTCCAACAACTCTATTCAATCTCAGACTGCCATCAACCTCATTAATCATTGGGAACAAAGGTTATTGTTTCAGAATACCTTAGGAAACCCATCTCATTTCTTTAAAACTTGCTGTTGCCTTAACATCTTTGAATATAACATACTCACAGTTCACAGTGGTATTTATAGAACCTCTCTCTGGTTGTTTTTAGACTGACAGTGTATTCTTCTAGCATCACTTTGAAAAAGTTCTCTTACTATTCTACACTCAGTCAAAACTTACTGAATTATCAATGCTCATACGGTATTAATTATGGATCAGATAGTATATTCTGTTTTTTTCCACACAAGACTCTTGTTTGATATTTAATCCAAGAGAAATAGATTAGAAAAAAGACAAATATAAATAAAAGCAGACTAAACAAAAAATAGAAATATACATTAATTAATTTCTCTAGCTAATGCTCAATATTTATGAGCACAATGTCTAGAACCTTTTTTTGTTTTCCAAGATTATGATTCAACTTTCAGTGATCATCTTTAAAAATTCCTTTGTTTATATCATATACATCTTTAGTATTAGTGGTATAATGCTTCACGGGACATAAAATATGAACAACAGCAATTTATCACGTCCCTGAAACACCAAAAATATTCTCACTCTTTGTTCAAATAGCAAAATATTTCCCTGATACATGCAAATACTCTTCAAGAGGTAAAACATTAAGATGGTTTATAAGGTCTTTTTCTAAGGTCTCTTGGGATTTGCTTAAAGTATTTGCATAAGTAAATTATAAATGGATACATCACAGCTGACTGCACTGAGCAAGGTGAAGCTCGGCAGTGAATGTTAATCTGTGCTTGGCAGGAAAGAGATATGTTCACTATTGGCTACAAGCTCAGGTTTTGGCTCATCACTCTGCAACTTTCCAGGTAGTCTCTTCGGTGTCCTTCATCACGTTTAATCTTTCTCCCTTCTCAACCATTCAGAATGAACACGGTATGTGGTATTATTAAAGCTGATTCCTGTACAAAGTATTGGAGAAAACTTAATTGGCTTACCAGGCAAGTCTGCTTTTGATCACACTTGATAGGAATGTTTTGCCTATTAACTTAAGCTAAGGAATAAATGAGGAAAGGTATTATGGTGTTCATAAAACATTACTAGAACAGGCCATAGCATCATGCTGCACAATATGTATTGACTCTACCCATAAGATACACAGCAAGGAGCAATAATGTATTGCCCAATGAAAAATACAATTTGGCTTGCAAATTAAAGGGAAGACAAGGCACCCAATCTTGGCTTTACACCCACCAACATAAACTCCAACTTAGAAACAATTAACCATGCCTATAAATCTAGAGCCTTGGAAAACTAAATGGAGTCCTAAATCAGAGAAGGCACAAAGACAGCATAGAAAATGTATTCATTAACCGAATTTGCAGTGGTTTTCTGGGTCTTTCTAACAAGGAGGAGCAGATAGAATTTTTATAAGACCTCAGACTAAATCCTTCAAGAAATTAAAATCATCCTAGTTCATAATAGTGTCATTTCATAATGAATTTTTAAAATCCAGAGATATGGAATGCATTTTAAAATGCTCATTTCAGGAGTTTTGAGATTAATTCATTGTTCTGCCAGGCTTATGGTTACCAAGCAAATTCTAACAGTAGGAAAAGGAACTTGAAGCTGAGTCTCAGTCACTATTGCATCCTGTTCAGGATACTTCTTCCCACTCTTTCTCCACTCTTTCTTCCTAATCTCTATGTTTCCCTTTTTTCCTGAAAATCGTGCAAGCTACTTAACTATACAATTTGTGGTTGTCTCACCGTGTCTCTTGATAATGAGTTCATTACCATGAGATTTTACCATTGCAAACAACCTTAAACACTCCAATTGTGAAGACTTAGAAGCCCAATCTGCACCAGCCACTACCCTGTACCACCTGCTGTCATAACAAGATGCTGTGATATGTCACTGAGAAAGCACCCTCCTAGTCCCCACTCCAGGCCAGTTTTCCTGTCACTCTTTCAAACCCAGTGCTCCCTTTCTCCCTTAAGGGAGCAAAAAGTAGGTCCCAAGACCTGTGGGTCTGAGACGCTTCCCCTTAGTCTCCAGGTTTAAATTTAGAGGTCACCTCCTCAAAGCTGTCTTTCCTTATGGCTCAATCAAATTAGATCTCTGCAGGCAAATAGCTTCCAGGTAAAGATGCTGCTCAAAAACACCTGGACCACGGCTCCACTCGGTCCCCTGATGGGGCCATGTCCTTGCTGATGCTGAGTTAGCTCACTGTTTGCCAATAGTCCCGGAAAAACAAGTTCAGAGAAGGCTGAGGTAAGTTTCTACAGCAAAAAAAAATGATGTAAGCTGTATGCAGAAAAGGATGCTTTCCATGAGGCAAAACTTGGTTTTTTGTCTCGATTCTTGAGAAAACCCAGGCAAGAATATACACCATGCATGATAGCTGTACCACTCAGAGAACAGTTCACCATCATTAAATTTTGTGTCTTTGGTTTTAAAAAATGGGAAATTGTAGACATATCTGTGCTAGAGCACTTACCTAGCATGCACAAGACTCTGAGATTGATTTCCAACATAGAGGAAAAAGGATGGTAGATATAATTAGACAATAGATAGATGATAAATAATAGAGATAAAGATAGATGATAGAAAGCAAGAGATTATGATGGTAGGTGATAGATGATAGATGATGGATGGATAGATAGATAGATAGATAGATAGATAGATAGATAGATAGATATAGATAGACAGATAGTAGATGATAAGCAGATGATAGATGGAGCAAATACAAATAAATAAGCATAGAGTGGCATCTATCAGCTCATCCATAATATAACTGGAATGTTACAGTCTCTCCCGTAATTTCTCACTCATGGCATCCACGTTTTCCCTCACAATCTTGATATCGTCTCATATACCCCAAGTATGCCATGCCCTACATTCATAAACTGAAAGAATACACAGCCATGTGCCTGAATAATTCCCATTCTCTGCATCCACTCCTCCCAGGTGAAGGCCATGAGATCAGGCACTACAATACGTTTCACCAGCAAACCACAAGTGCAGTAGAGTGCCTGACACACAGGAGATGTAAAGTACTTAATTTTTCATAAACCAGTATCAGGATCTATGGGAAGGAATGCTCTGTCGCTCTCCAGCCATACCACACTCCGTGTTGTTCTTCCTGCATCCAGGCAGTTGGGGACTCTCCGTCCTGTGGCAGACTCAATCTATTCCTCCCCTGTCCACCTTATTCCAGGTCCATCACCTGAATTCTGAGCACCTTTCAAATGAGGCGAGCTGGGGTGATGGCTGGTGGTTGGGAAGAAATATAACATAGTTTCCCTTATAAGTGAGAAACTCAAAAGTAAAGAGCACAATAAAAGATAGATATTAGAAATAGGGAGACAGATGCTTTGCAAAAGGGAAGGGCATAAAGAGCAGGGCGGGGGGCGATGGGAGGAAGAGCTAAAGTGGTTAAGAAAGACAACAATTAAGACCTGTTATGTACAGGTACCAATTTCCCAAGTGGAATGTAATCATTATGCACTGAGAACATGTACCGATCAAAATACAAAAATTGAAAACATAAATAAAATGCAATTAAAAAGGTGCTTCACAGAGTCATCATTGTTTCAGACACGTTCCATGCTAAATTCATTCTTAAAATTTTCTGGTTGTTTCCACGTGTCCGTTTTCACTTTGGGACTCTGAGACCTGCACATGCTTACTAACAGATATGTGTCATCTCTCCAAATTATTTTATAAAAATGCAATTTTGCATGATTTTTTTGAATATTTAATGCAGTTACCTCCCCCGCATAAACTACAATTCAGGCATTTACAAACAAGCTTTTATTGCTTTATATCAAGTCCACATTTTCATTATATTGATTTCAAAATAGTATGATTGGTTTATCAGAAATCTCACAAATCAACTATCATTCTTATAAATTCTGTACTGTGATTCTCTTTTAGTTACTTTTACTATATCAATTAGTTTCAGCACTAATCATAATTGGGTTTATCATTATTCTATGTGTTTACTCTATAGGTTTAAATGAATGTTCCCTTTATATTCTTAACCCTTCATCTATTTCCTTATAGTTTTTAAAAAGTCTTTTTAACAGACTTCTGAAGCCCTAAAAATAAATCACAACTTGATTTATGTTAAAAAATTAAAAAGCAGTAACACAATAAAAGCAAAACCAGCACAAATTTGCCTTTACCTTGCATTAACATCACATTACCTCGGAAAACTTGGCTATTACCAGAACAACATTCACAGAATAATTCCTTCAAGGAAAAGATGCATCTACTTAACCTAACTGATCTTCAAAGTGGAGAATTATTGAATGAATAATGAATTATTGCAGATTTGAAGGCTATGTTTCCCTAGGAAGTTGTACATTTTACTTTTAAATCACTAAATATCTTTCGACAAACCCAGATGTTGCTCACTAATGATGAAACAGGTAAAATGTGATTAAACATCCAACTGAATAAACAGCAGAGAAAAATTACACTATTCATTAGTTGCACAAACATAGCTCACACCCTGTCCAGCATGCACGGAGAAACAGGTAGCGATAACTCAGATCTTCCAAAGCAGTGAACGGGGCACATTTTTGCATTACTTGACGTCACAGAGAAGGGCGACCCCACGGAGCACCCAGTGTTCTGGGGCCTGGGCCGTCTTGAGGTCTACAGCAGCAATGTAGTTCAAGTCCGTTCGAACTGGCTTCTTGTAAATGGGGCAGGAATAACACCGAGGATCTCTTTGGGCTACAAAAAAACAAATCATAAGACAGAGCAACTTGATCAGTTTCTAATTGGAGCATCTCTTTAAGCGCCAAGATCAAACATTTGGAAAGTCACGCCAACGACAGGTATGTTTGGAAGAATGAGCAAAATTCCTGCTGAGGCCTCACAACCCCTGTGTGCAAAGCAGATGTCACACTGGGCGTGATAAGACACCAGACAACTGAGCTTGACCCTGCTGGCCCCTCACCCTGCAATCTTGACAGTAACCCCTGCTCACATGCGTCCTCATTCTCTTTCCTCCTCTCCACTCAACATTCACCTCCACCCCGTCTCCTTGACCTCCTCACCAAGTGTTGTGTGCACACCTATCCCTTCTCCAACAGGAGGAGCCTGCTACTCTAATCCAATGCCCAGCACCAGAGGGCATTACTTCATCACCACCATCATTGTCCGTATCGTCGCCCTCATCATTAGTTATAAATCTCATCATCAACCTTCTGTGTGTCAGGCCCCATCACAGCTAAGTCTCAGGACACAGGGTGCCCCAACCAAACCAGGTGTGAATTCTCCGTGGATGAAGAGAGCAACAACACCTGAGAAGCAGAGCAGATTGACACAGTGCAGCTCCCTAACACTCAGTTTCTCCTTTGTGGAGAAGAGTAGATGCCATTTGCACCACCACACAGGCAGCCAATACACCTTTATGTCGTCATCCTCTAAGAACTCTATGTATCCACACCTCCCCTCAAGATCCATCTCTCCACCCCTGGAAACCATGCTTCGGTTCTGTAAGTGCTTAAACTCGTACAGCTCATGTAGGAGAAACGTACGAATACAAACTTAGGTTTTACAAAGTGTGCAGAGCCCAGGAGTGTATGCTTCATTAGCGTCTTGTGAAACCCGCTCTGCTCATAATGATCTGCACGTCTCCTAACATCCATATCAGGATGCTGCATCTTCTTTTATGGTCTCTTTCAGGTTATAAGTCTTCCTCAGGATGTAAGTTGTGGCTGTACCCTTACACTCCTCTGGAAGGTCAATATAATATTATAAATGACTCTCATGGCACTCCTGAGATGAAACCATGTTTAACAAAGGCAATAACCATTTCGGTGATTTAGTGGAACCAATCTGAGCACTAAACATGGAAAACAGCAACTTTGCAAATGGAGTCTTAATACATCAGAGTTACAGAATGTATTCCCTAAAACTAATATGCTAAATATTTTTTCTAACAAATGATGAAAGCAAACCACAACCAAAAATTAAATCCTCATTGTATGACCCATTAGAACCTTCGATCTGTTGTGCCATGTGTTTTTATATATCTACTATAAATTTAATTTTACAGTAAGAAGTGAAACATTTGAGTAGGATAACATTACACATAATTTTCAATATAAGATAAATATTATAAAGTAGTCACTTTTAAATGGAGTAATTGGTAGGATCTTACAAGACATTTACCAATCAATTTCTGGGACATTTCTGGCTATCACGACTGTGAGTGAGCTTGCCTGGTAAAAGTGTACAAAAGTTAAGGATTCTGTCAATATTCTATGATAAATAGGACAGACTCCCCAAAAAGAGTTATCTAGATCCAAGATGTCACTAGTGTCAAGACTAAGAAATCCTGTTTTCACACAATGAAATCATAGTTATTTTACAGTATCTTAATTCTACATTTACCTAACCCCATAAAATTAGAAACAGTCTAAAGTATTATCACATCTAATTCCTAAATTTGAATGTTTATTTCAGTTACCAAGAGGATATCACTAATAATACTAATCTTATATATGAAATACTAAATATGTATGTATATTAAAAACAATGACCAGGTGATTGACAATGAATCACAGAGTGTTACCAATACTAAGTGATATATTTAAAATCCCTTAATCCTAGGATTGCTAAGCACATAACACATATGTAACTAATAGTTCTTGAAAATTAATTAGCATCTATTTCATATATCTTGAAATTATTAGAGACTTACATCTGATGCTGATAATTATAATAATGATATCTTCTGAAATATTGATACCTTGAATTTTAATCCCAAAAAAAACTGGAATTATTTTTAAAAGAATTCTTTTGAATATGCAGGTAAAAATAATGTTCTGGAATACTTATCTAATTTTATTTATTTTTAATTGCTTCAGAGCTGAAAGGGCCTACGCCAAGTTGTAGCAGCCAGCCTCATCTGCAAGCAGATTCGCAGTGAAAGTGCTGACATACTGAACAACCACATAAACAGGTCATCTGCAAACATTCTCTTGCTTAAACAAACAACTTTGAAGAGAAAATACGCATCTAGATAGACAGAACAAATCAGCTATGTATGTTTAAAGTCTTAAGGTTCCAAAAGGATAAAAGAGAAAAAAGGTTGGGAAAATTGGTGAGCTTTACACTCTAGTTACCTAAACATTTTAATAAAACATCTTGGGAGAATTTCATTTCATAGCTGTGTAGCACATCAGTCCTACATTTTTTTTATCCACACATTTGTAGACATTTCATGGGTTTCTTCCAATATCCAAAGTACCAAGTTATGTAGTGTCTCTAGGTAACTTTAAATCATTCTTTAACTTTCCTGTTACAAGGACAATTAAGGACATTTAAATTACTAGACATTCATTTTCTTTCTTTTTTTGTGTGCTACATCAACCTAATCTTTATTTAAGGTCAGTATTCTTGGTGACAAAGAGGACAATGAATATATGGCCTTAGTAAAGTTTACAAATAAAAACCACAAATGCTTATTTCTTTCACTAGCAAACCAGCTAGACTGAGTATGGAATATATATTACTTAGAGAGCTAACAAAGTATAAACAAAAGTAGGAAAAAATAAATATCACAGATACCACTGACGTACTTAAGCTTTTATGCAATAGACATTCATTTTCACATGTGGTACTTCTTTTAATTTTAAAACCTTGTCCCCACTTACAATCTCAATCACCAGGTACCTGAGAAAAATGTAGCTGTGACTTCATCATGCAGGTTGCGACTAGCCTTCATTTTCAAGCTTCACCACAGTTTTGAGAGGACCCCTCCCTGAAAGCTTAAATAGAACTCCAGCCCCTGGCCTTCCCTGAGCTCTGTCTGCCATCACAACAGACAAATGTGATGTGGATACCAGCTTTGTCACTTGGTAGACAGGAGTCATTGGCAAATTATCTCATTCCTCTAAACATTCATTTCCCTGCCTGCAAAATGGAAAGGATAACTTTGACAGAGTGTCTGTAAAGGTTAAATCAGTTTATATATGTGAATGCGCTTTAAAACATGTCTGTGATGCAGTAGATTCCTAATATACAATACATTATTTGTTCTCTCTCTGTCTCTCTCTGTCTCTCTCTCTCTCACACACACACACAAATGTGCATATACAAACACACATGTATGATCCAATCACAGCTTTACTGCAGCTGTTTCCTGTTACAGTTCTAAAGTTTACTTAGAACCTTCACTCTGTCAAATCTGTAAAGAGAGCTCTCTTTTCTGTATCTGCCTCTTTTCAGTTTCCTTTGAGGACAGAGGATGTGTATGACAATACTTCCAGTAAGTTGAGTACTGTTTGAGTCATTTTTCCATTATGTCCAAATGAGAAATATTAATTTAAAATTTCAAGGATATGCCACTCAAATTTAGAGTTAAAATAAATTCCATGGATGTTTTCTTCTTGAAAATAAATCAAATCACTCCTATATCTCAATGTCAATAATTACTTAAAGAGAAATTGCTTTTCATACTAATGCAAAAACTCTTAACTACATGAGTTCTAGTTTTAAAGTGCTGCACTGTAATGTCTTTTGGTCATTAATTTACTGTATCTCTTTATCTCAATTAGAGCCCTATTCTATTATCACAATTAGATGCATAATATGAAAAGAGTTATAAGAATGTTGGTTTTCCATCACTAAATGAACACTTCATTGATTGCAAAGCTGTTGGTTCGGTAAAACAAGTTTCCAGCAACTTCTACCAAAATTAAAAAGAACTACAGATTTTTTTTAATATTTTGAAATTAGTCCATTTTTTTTCTCTTATTTTTTTCCTTTAGCTGCTGCTAATGACTGTCACCACTGACTAATGCCCAGGAAGATAAGCACAACTATGCTATTCAAATCTGTTCTTCAGTATTAAGGAATCATCTATATTATGAAATTATTACTATATTGCTACTATGCTGAGATGTTCAGTGTCAAATTGCCACTGATTTATACTCTCATAGTCATAAGGAAAGAGAAGTAACACCTATATCCAAATGTGAAACAGATTTTCCTCTCTTTATAAGGGCAGCATTTTCACCACGTGCTAACTAAATGGAGTGATATGATAAATCAAAATTGCTGAAGTATTATTTTGTACTAAAAGAACATCGACTATTGTTTCTGTACAATCACTACTGCTCAGCACTTTCATCCTCCTCCCTAACAAGAGCCAAGAACTGCAGGGCCACAAGCACGACGCTGTCTGAACCCTGGGGACATTTATCCTTCAGAAGTCAGTGAAAATGCACAGAGAATCACTTTGAGGCAAGGAGTGTGCTGAGAACCCGCGTGTTCCTGCTCTGACGTTCAGCTCTCCACTTCACAGGCTCCTCCTCCTTCATCCTGCACACACTGGTCTCTCTCCCAGGTCAGTCTGCAGCCGCTGAATAAATTACACAACCTCCCTGACTTCAAGCCTCTCTGACAAATTGTTGTAAAGATTAAATGACACATGGTGTAGAGGCCACCTAGAGAAACCCTCTCAGTAAGTGTCAGTTCTCTTTTCCAACTCTGTCCCCATTTCCACCTTCTCCCCAAACAACCTCCGTCATGCAGAAGTTTCGTGTGCTGACATCCAAGCATCCTAGACAGACCCTGCCTCCTAGGCCCCAAATCTGGGCTCTTGGAAAAAGCCAGAAGAGTGGAAGGAGCCAAGCTCTGGAGTCAGACACAATTGGCACTGCAGTTCAGCTCTTAGCAGCTGTTTAACTGTGAGCAAGCCACAGAATTTTGCTGGCATTTAACTTACTGCTAAAGTGAAGATAAAATACAGATAAGACTAACAATCTTTCAAGGTTATTTTAAGAAAGACACAGAAGGTCTTTATAAAAGCGTAAGAAAATGTTTAGCACATGCTACAAATTTCAAAGAAGTCAATTTTTTCTTTTATTTTTTTGTTGTTCTTCTGGTTATTACTGAGAGTTTACCATGTAATTCTCCTGAATCTATCAGGTCACCCCTACAGCATCTTACTCAAAATCAAAGGCAGGCTCAAAGATTCTCCAATTCCTAGTGTTGTCTAGTGTTCTCTAGGCAAATAGAAATTGATCCGTATTCATGGTTCTGAAGATCTCTTAAAATCTCCCAGGTGAGCAGGTATGAAAATCAGAGTCCAGGCACAACTTGGGCAGTGGGGTCTATAGGACCCCAGGTCTCAGTGATGCTGCTCACCGCCCACAGGAAACTGCTTCTTCTTCCTCTTCAAGCCTCTACAAGAGAACACGGCTCTGCTAGCCTTGACTTGCCTTCCAGAATCTATCAGCCTATTGTAAACCACACCCTGCCTATCCACCTCAACCTGTCTAATCAGAAACATTTTTTTAAATTTTATTTAAAGAGAAAAAAACACAAAACTGTAAAAGGGTACAAATAATACAGAATTTCAAAAACATAAACAGTAAGAAATCACTAGTTACCAGATTACATACTGTCATCTTAGAAATAGTTGTTCAAGTTACAAAATTAAAGCATACAAAGTGGACATTCAAACAGTGAGACTGCAAACAGTTCTGTTTGATGATCCAACAAAAACTCAGTAATATGGTTAGCTACCTAATACACTTAAATATACATGCAGTTATATCCTTTAGAGCACTTTCTTTGCCTCTCTTTTTTACAATAACAATTACGCATTTTGGGTTTTATTACTCCCACAGTTATTATAATCAGAAATATTTAACTGATAGGCCATGTTCCTCCACAATGCTGGCATAGATTAAAATATAACAGGATGCTGGTGTAGCAGGAGCCAGGTTTCTACTTCAACTGTGGAAGAACTCTTCCCAGCTAAAGTGGAGAGCACTGCTATGTACCACACATCTCACTTGGAGCATGACTGCCAGGAGAAGCTATACTTAAAAGGTCACAAACGCTCCCAGCTTTGTGACACCATCTCACTGTCTTTAAGGAAGTTGTGAGTTCTGCGGGGAGGAGCCCTCTTAACCCCAACTCTCAGGCCACTTATGCTTAATATAAGTGAGAAACCCAAACACTTCAAAATCATTTTCAATTGTCATGGTCTGCTCAGTGATGGCAAACCTTTTAGAGCTTTCAGTGACACCAGCAGCCCGCTGCAGCACGCATGCTTCATCCTTCATACCTGGATACTCTTTTCTTTGCCATCCTCGATCCTTGCCAGTCACCATGCCACACCAAGTCCCCACGTGTCACGCTGAGACACACTCTTCGACTCCATCCCTCCCCGCTCCTGTCCCTCATCATCTCACCAGCTGCACCCACCTTTCTCTTCTTCGGGCACCACACACCGCTTACCACTTCATGCCTCTGCACTCTCCCCTGCGCTCCTAGATAACAACCCGGCCCCTTCCCATGACTCAGATTCACTTCAACATTCTAAATCATCTCCTGATTTTTTTTTTTTTTTGTTTTTGTCTTTTTCCTTTTTATCGGTACCAGGGATCGAACTCACGACTGCCTGCTTACAAGGCAGGCGCTTATGCCGCTGAGCTAAATCTCCAGCCCCCATCTCCTGATTTAACATAAGGGCTTCTGCTTCCTGAGAGAAGAGACAATTATCTGAAGACGGCATGCTCATTCGCAGCTGATTCTTACAGCAGAAAGTCTCCATGAACACAAATTAACCAATCCCAAACCAGCACTTTCAGGGGAAAATGCAAGGTTACCTCTTGCAAGCCTGTAGTTACATTTTCATCAACTAATTAATGCATAACCTTGCATGATGTGTGTTTCTATTTAAAGACACATTTTAGCACACATGGTTGATTTACCAACACTGAGCTCAAATCCAGTAGTTCTGTAACTCACGACCGAAAGCAGCTGAATCAGCATACAGATTTTTCTAAAAATGATATAAAAGACTTCTTGCATTAAGAAACAATAGAAAGCACTTAAGCAATACAGTAGTATTTTAAGCAAAGAAAAATTCAAACAGCACCAAATAGACCACACAAAGACACTTGCTCACTATGAGAGCTGAAATCAGAAGGCAAGAGTGTCACCTGGTCCAGCCTTAGCTGGGAACATATGTGTCAAGCAGCTCCATCTTTTTGCTGCTCTGTGGATGTCTGTGATGACTGTAAATATTGATTTGGGGATTACAAGGAATTCTTAGCACGTAGGTGAATTCACAAAACAGAATCTGCAAGGAGCAAGACCTGACTGCATGTGCTTGTCGTATGACCACACCTCTTCTCCTCCAACCTAGCCCACCTTCAACTTGGAGACCGCGAATGGGAATTCTGCCTGGTCCTTTTCATTACTACATCACTAGCCTAGAGTAGTGTTTGGCAGGTGGTCAGTGCCCGACAAACAGTCACTAAATGACCAAGTGAGCAAAGCTACTTCCCTCTGCTGAGACAAATCTGTCTCTAACTCCAATCATACTGATTCTGGCTCCCATGTCAAAAGCAATCTTCCTAGCTCCTAGCAATGTTTAGGTTTCCCTTCTAGTTCCCTAAGCAGCTCAAGTATATCTCCATTGTACTATTAATCCAATTATATTTTCATTATGTATCTATTAATTGTTTTGTCTCACTGGAATATGAGTCCCTAATGCCAGGATCTGGTTCCTAATTATCTTTGGGTCTTAGACCTAAGGTCACAGCTGTATGTTCTAGGCAATCAGCAAATGTTTGCTTATTTATAATTATAAACTCTTTCCCTGGCTCATGTCTCCAAATTTAATGTTTATCTAAGAAGTAGGAATACCACCACTGTCCAAAGAGAGATGATTTTATTTGTTTACTTTAAAGAAAAATCACTCATGCTCCTCTCACTGAAGCATTTCCTCCTTTGCCTCCACAATGGCACTGTCTCGAGCGTGTGGCTTATGATTCTATAGAAAATGAGAATTCCTTGGGGTCCTGAAATGCAATTGCTGAGCAGAAGTCACCTGAGTGAAATTTCACAATAAAAGCCTCCAGAAACATCAGGCCAGCAATGGGAAAGAGCCCAGAGAGAGTTAGATGTGTCAAATAGAACTGATAATTTTGCCACAACAAAAATAATGTGTGTGCTTCTTAGAAGTATTACTCCATTCATGCGCTGGAAGAGGAGCCCAGTATTTTGCCATGAGGATGAAGCCAGATGCCTCTGAATTTGATCGGGATCTCACAGCTGGACTCAAACCTTCAAGCTGGTAGAGCCTCTACCCGTAGGTGAGCCCTGCACACTCCCACCAAGGAAACCTCACCGTCACCCACCTGCTCATGTCTCCCTTCAAAGCCCACCTTGGCCTTGACCACATCTCCTGCCCTCTCGCAGATAAGCACTGTAAAATACCTCTTTCTTACCTCATCAGAGATAAATACACAGAGGTGATCAAAAAATAGGGTGTTGATTTAAAGTTTTTAAGAAGCAATTACAGTAAAAGACACATTGCCACTGAGGTGCCTTGAAATATTCCCTCATCTTAAACACGCCTGTCCCGCTGTTACTGACAGTTTGCGAAGCAGTCCAGGGACTCCGCCTTCTAGTGTCTTCAGTTGTGCTGTTGTGGCTGCTTTTGAGCATGAATCCATTCGAATCATTGATCTTTCACTGTCACATTGACTTGGAGGATGGACAGGAACCTCACAGCATCACATCCAGAGAATAAAGTGGATGAGCGATACCCCCAGGTGCCCAGGATCCTGCCTTTCTGTTCAGGGACACTCAGGGGCAACATTCTCCATATTTTTGACAACACCTTGTAAACACACTCACAAAAGAGGATTTTCAGATTATTTCAGAAATTGGTGAGAATGATGCCACACATGTGTTCAAAGTGAGGAGAAGTATGTTGAAGGGGATCATGACAACATGTCATTTAGGGTAATAACTTTTTATTTAAACATGGACCATAATTTTCAATCACACCTCCTATCTCTGAATCCTTCATGAGTATCCATCCATGTTTTACCAGATAAGGATGAGATATCTAGAATTATCAGCTTCCCAGTTATCATGCAAGAATATGTCCAGAGGTCAACAGGCTTTCATTGAATATAGGTGTAAATATAAAGTTGATGCGACCATAAAAGCCCTACTTACCGCTGTTTTCCGCGTAAATCCTTATGACAGGCATCAGCTCAAAGAGCACTTTGGGTTTGGATTCAGTGAGCTTCATATTCCTCTTGTCCCAGCCGGCACCTTCCAGATACAAGCCATACACGTACACACCCTCTGGGGGAGGGGCAGAGATGTCATCCTTCATCCACTTGGTGACCTCATTGCACAGCACCATATTGTCCAGAGCCCAGCCTTTGTTGGCCCGTGTTATTTCCTATTCAGAGCCACAAACATTAAGGGAACAATTAGAAGTTTGTCTTCATAAAAATAACATTGATGAAAGTTTAGCTCCAAATTATCCTAAATCAAAAAGTAGAACACTATTTTAAAGTTTATAAAATTCTCTCATCATCCCCATCTTCTTCCTAATTTAATTGGTCCTGCCTTAAAAAAAGAAAAAGAATGAAATTAAATCAAATACAAAATAGTAAGTAATTTGTACTTCAAGCTAGCAGCCTGGGAATAAACAGTGGCATTTATGCTCATAATTATGTGTCTGCTAGCCATTGTCTACCTTAT